CTGGTCGAGTCTGAATACAGACCCCTTACAAAGCTGAGCCCAACTCCTGCAAATTCTTAACCCCATGTGTGTCCTGAGCTCGTCAGCCTTCCAGGAGATACCCAACTGGACTGATTCCAGGATGGTTCTCATGGAGAAGAGTAGATTCAGCTCCTTAAAAATTTAATCCCAAAGTGTGGTCCTAACTCTAAAATTTCATCCAGTGTCTGGAGTAAATCTGTACTGTTGGTCGTTTTTGGAGGGTGACTGCTATGAAAACCAGCAGATTCAACTCCTGACAAAATTGAGTTTTCACTAACTCCTAAGTCTTAAATATTGTGTCAAATGTCTGGAGTAAATCTGGGCTGTAGACTTGATTCCAGATGATCGTTATGATGGAAATAAGTAGACTGAACTTCTTACAAACTGGAGGTCTGAGGTGTGTCATTTCCTTTCAGCCTCCCTGATCACATGGAGGGTCAGAGGCGCAGGATGGTTTGCTGTTGGAACATAGATGGAACCCCTTACAAAACGTTTAGCTCAAGGTATATCCCCAACTCTTCAACCTTTCAATATTGTATCAAAGGTCTCTAGGTCTTGATGCAAAATCTGCATCAAGTAAATTCATTTGGGAGGCTCTATCTCAGTAGACACAAGTAAATTGAACACCTTACAAGGCTTGCCCTCACCTCAAATGTCTCAAGTAATTCCATGTTGGAATTACCAGCCCAGGGCTGGATGGTTTGCAATGAAGAATAGATCGAACCCCTTACAAAGCTGAAGCCCAAGTTTCTGGACTCTTCAGTTGGGGACTTTGGCAGGCCACTTCCTCTCATCTATCATCAAGTCCTAAGCTGACAAATTATTTTGTCACTGTGCTTATCTTAGGAAACTGACAAAAGTGACTCTCATAGTCTGTTAATGGGCTGTGAGTTTTCAGATGGTCAGGCAATCCTGCCACAGTGGCCACCCAGGGACATGGGTTGCAGCTGAGAGACCTTGACCAGGCTCAAGACACTGTACTTGTGGGGGCTACTTTAGGCCATAGACCAGGTGGTCAATCTCGAGCAGGTGGGAAGGTGAGACTGGGCCTAAAAGACTCCATTGTCCATCATCTCAGGAACTTTCCCTCCCTTTATTACGTTTTTGCTACTTAAAAAAACTGCTTTAGTGAGGTGTAACTCACATTATACAACTCACATGTTTAAAATATACAATTCAGGGGCACACGAGTGGCTCAGTCAGTTAAGCATCTGCCTCAGCTCAGATCATGATCCTGGGGTCCTGAGATCAAGCCCCACATTGTCGTGGGGCTCCCTGCTCAGCCGAGAGTCTGCTTCTCCCTCTGCCCCTCCCCCTCCTCCTGTGTGCGCACACACGCTCTCTCTCAAAGAAATAAATAAAATCTATAAAAAATAAAATGTACAATTCAAGGGCTTTTAGTATATATACAGTCATCCAATTATAACCCATTTTAGAACACTTTTATCACCCCCAAAAGAAACTCCATACCTTTTAAAAGCCAGGACTCCCATCTCCCCTCAAAATTCTCCTGGCCCTAGGTAACTACTAGTCTACTTTCTCTGTGAATTTACCTATTCTAGGTACCTCATATAAATGAAATCATACAACATGTGGACTTTTGTGTCTGATTTCTTTCACCTATCAGTTTTTTCAAGGTTGATCCGTGTTGTACCAGGTATCAGAACTTTTCTATCTATGGCTGAATAATAATATTCTGTTGTATGCATGCCAAATAAACTACATTTATTTACCTATTCATCACTTGATGGGCATTGGGTTGTTCTCAGTTTTAGGCTGATTATGAATAAGGCTGTTATTAACAGTTATGTGGAAGTTTCTGCATGGCCATATTTTTATTTCTCCTGTGTATACACCTAGAGTGGAATTATTGGTTGATCTGGTAAGTCTTTAACTTTTTATTATGATAAAATATGTATAGAACATAAAATTCATCATTTCAACCATTTTATTTATTTAGGAGAGAGAGAGCAAGCAGGAGGGGAGGGGCAGAGGGAGAGGGAGGGAGAGAAAATCTTAATCAGTTTCCATGCTCATCATGAAGCCTGATGCAGGCTTGATTCCATGATCTTGAGATCATGACCTGAGCTAAAATCACGAGTCAGATGCTTAACCAACTAAGCCACCCAGACACCTGTTAACCATTTTTTTAAATTTATGTATTTATTTTGGAGACAGTGTGTGTCTACTTACGTTTTGCCATTTTTGAGTTGTTCCTTTGTTATTGAGTTTTAGGAGGTTCTTTGAATATTCTGGATATTAATCACTTATCGGAATATGATTTGCAAACATTTTCTCCCATTTTGTGGGTTACGATTTTATTCTTGATAGTAGCATTCTTTGATGCCCAAACGTGATAAAGTCCAATTTATCTGTCTTTCCTTTTGTTGTCTGTGATTTTGGTGTCAAATTCAAGAAATCATTGGCAAATCCAATGTCATGAAGTTTATCCCCCATGTTGTTTTCAAAGAGCTTTAGAGTGTTAGCTTTTACGTTTAGGTCTTTGATCCATTTGTATGTAGTGTCAGGTAAGGGTCCAATTTCATTCTTTTGTATGTGGATCTCTAATCTTCCCAGCATCATTTATTGAAAAGGCTGTCCTTTCCCCATTGAATGGTCTTGACATCCTTTTTGAAAATTATTTGACCATATATGCAAGGGTTTATTTCTGGGTTCTCTATTCTAGTGTATTCTATTGATCTATATGTATTCCTTTTGTTGCTTATACCACACTGCTTTTATTATTTTATTAATATTTTAATATTATATTATTATATAATGCTATATTATATTAATTATAATAATATTATTATATTATTAATATACTAAGTTTTGAAATCAGAAAATGTTAGTCCTCCAAATTTGTTCTTCTTTTTCAAGATTACTTTAGCTATTCAGGTCCCTTGAGGTTCCACATTAATTTTAGGTTGGATTTTTCTATTTCTGCAAAAAATAACATTGGGGATTGCACGTGAATTTGCAGATCCAAACTTTGGACTTTTTTTTAATTTTTATTTATTTATGATAGTCACACAGAGAGAGAGAGAGGCAGAGACATAGGCAGAGGGAGAAGCAGGCTCCATGCACGGGAGCCCGACGTGGGATTTGATCCCGGGTCTCCAGGATCGCGCCCTGGGCCAAAGGCAGGCGCTAAACCGCTGCGCCACCCAGGGATCCCAGATCCAAACTTTGGATAGTACTGACATCTTAACAATATTGTCTCCCAGTTCATGTAGATGGAATACCTTTCCATCTATTTCTTCTTTATTTTTTTAAAGGTTTGTTTATTTATTTATTTGACAGAGAGATAAGTGTGAGCACACGCATGAGCAGGGAGGAGGAGCAGAGGGAGAGAGGGAAGCGGACTCTCCAATGAGCAGGGAGCCTGATTTGGGGCTTTATCCCAGGACTCGGAGATCACGACCTGAGTCAAAGGCAGATGCTTAACCAAGTGAGCCACCCAGGCCCCCTTATTCCTGTCTAATTTCAGGAATAGTTTGTAGTTTTCAGTGCGCAATTCAGTGCACAAAAGTAAATGTCATTATAGTCATGAAAATAATACATAAGTATTTTATTTTTATTTTTATTTATTTATGATAGTCACAGAGAGAGAGAGAGAGAGAGAGAGAGAGAGGCAGAGACACAGGCAGAGGGAGAAGCAGGCTCCATGCACCGGGAGCCCGACGTGGGATTTGATCCCGGGTCTCCAGGATCGCGCCCTGGGTCAAAGGCAGGCGCCAAACCGCTGCGCCACCCAGGGATCCCTACATAAGTATTTTAAAACAAATGCCATGCTATAGTTTGGGTCACGTTCAGTCCTCTAGCTGCAGATTTGAGAATTCGGTGAGTACTGCTCTGTTATGATGGACGAAATTGTTGGTGTGGCAAAAGCATAACAAAACACTTCTCAGGTCTTGTTCTCTCCTTAGCTAAAACCTGAGGCCTCAGAAGGCAGGAAAAGTGCCTTCTACACCTCCCCTGAAAATGCCTGTCAGTGCACTTACCACTTGGGTATCCACCCACCCAGTAGCCACAATGACTGTCCACAAAATGCAAATTTGATCATCTCTCTTTGCTTAAAACCCATCAAATGCATTGCTATTACGATAGCTGTTGACGTGTTCTCCAAGGTCAGTGTTATGTTCCCAGTCAATACATCTTAGGAAGTTCATCCCGGCTCCCTCACTGCTCTGCAGTCATTCTGGCCTTCTTTCCATCTTTCTAAATGTTTTTTTCAAACATTTCTAATTGCAGCCTACAGTAAGAAATTTATTTTACATTGCAACCTGGTTGGCATATATCACAACAAAAGATTGGCAAAGCAATTCTTAGCTTTACTACTTATGCAATACACTCCAATAGTTTTTATTTTTCTTAGAAAGTTGGCACCCACTTGATTGTTACGACCAATTGATGGAGAACAACATGGGTTTTGTAAAACACTGCTCTAAGCCTTCCATTTCTTTGCCTCGGGGTCTTTGCATATGCTCTGCTCTCTGGAAAGCTTTTCTCGTGCCCTCTTCACCTGGATAAATCTTACTTATTCTCAAAGTATGAAATCAAGGATGCTTCTCGCTCACTTGTGCGCTCTCTCTCTCCCTCCCGTCCACTGCCTGCATTTGAATCCTGGAGATCGTGATGGAAGAGTCAACATTTGCAAAGAACTCAGAACAGTGCAGGGCACATTTCATCTTACTATTGCAAAAGGTACTAATTATACAACTGTTTGTGTGACTATCAGTATCTGTCTTCCCACAACGCGCAGACTCTAAATCCTTCGATTATCTTTGTTTATCTTCACAGTCCTAGCCTCACTTTGCCGTGGCAAGTAGGAAGCACTCAGGAAAAACGTAAGGGAGAAGGAAGAACTTGCCACAAAGAATCAAAACCTGGAAGCTGGAAAACAGAGCCCGCGTTGACGTCATCACACCGCCCCAGAAGCCCCGCCCTAAAGGCGAGGACACGCCCCCTCGGCGACCGGCGGTCACGTGGGGCTCAGCGGGGGCGCGCGGGGGAAGCTGGGCCAAGATGGCGACCCTGAGGAAGGTGGTGCCGCGGAGACTGGTGGGCTTGGCGTCTCTCCGGGCTGTAAGTGCCCCGGCCCGCCGAGGGGCGGCCCTGCGGGCACCGTGACGGTCGGGGTCGGGGCCCCGGCCCGTGGCGGCTGCTCTCTGAGAGGCCAAGCAGGACAGCTCCTCAAGCCACAGTCGGGAGGGCCTTGGAGTCTTGGATCCTTTGTCCCGCGCAGATCCCTTGAGGGGCACGGGGAGACTGAGGCCTAGAGATGGGGAACGACTTGCCCGGGTCGTAGAGACCTGGGGCGCCATCCTAGGTGTCCTCATTCCGTCCAAGGCTCTTCCCGGCCACCCTGGCGCCTTCTCGCTCAGAGCTTCCGAACTCTCCAAGCTCCTTTGTAGTGAAAATCACGAATAATCTTCCAGTTCCGAGTGGAAAAAAAGCAAGGTTCCCCCCCCCCCCCCCGCCTGCGTTTCCAGCCCGTGTTGTGCCTGGGGACTCTCGGAGAGCTACGGTAGCGCCAAGGAGGACTGAGGCCGCGTCGGGCTGTGTGCGACTCCCCTGGAATGGTCCTTCGGGCGTGGGGCCCGGTGTTTACCCCCGCCCCTGCTCAGGGAGTCAGGGGAAGTGTAGCAGAGCTGGTTCCTCAGGGTTGAAGAAATTGTTTGGGCTACAGCTGAAGCTGTGGGTCTTCCAGTGGTGCTGCCACTTTCTAGGTTGAATGACGATTACTTGCTCTCTGAACCTCAGTTTTCTCATGTATGACGCAGGTAAACATTGCCCCAGGGTTCTCTGGAGAGGAAGGGAAACGTAGGTAAAGCATCTGACGTTGGTTTAGCTCACAGTAAGTGATAAATCGGTGGCGTAATTTTTGCTTTAAGTGTAGAAGGAGTAAGAAAAGTAGGAGTTACAAATGTGTGGTGGGGAAATGACACTGTCGTAGCAGTGGGCCCTTCAGAAAACCACTTTAATGGCTACTAGGCCACCTGCTAGTTGTTAATGTGTAAAATAAAGATGGTATTTCCAACTTGAAAAACCAATAAAATTACATGAGATGGTGATGATTATGTGCTTTGAAAAAATTCTGGGTTTAATGAGGTGGTGGTCCTAGGCCCTCTGTGGGTTTACGAGCATAGGCTTGGTATCAGAAACAGATGGTTCAAGGTCAGGCTTCTTCACTTGCTAGCTGTGTGATTTTCATCATCTTTCTGAGGCTGTTTCTTCCTATATGAAGTTGAGATAATGATAGCCCCTGCCATGTAGGGACTAAACAAGGTACTGATCCTGAAGTTTGCACTGGACTTCAGTTGGTATTAGCTGTTGGTAGAGGTACGCTGTACCTCAGGAGGCCTGGCCTAGGACTTTTGTGGTTAGAGGAGATCATCTAACCACAGAGCTGAGCTGTACAGAGGGAATAAACTAGGTGTTTAACCAAGACCAGAGAAGAATGGGGGGACAGGAAGGTGGTTTACAGGTTAAAAACCAGGGCTGTGCAGGTTCAGATAATGCCAGGTTCAGATAATGATTGTGACCAGCTAACCAGAATGTGACCTTGGGAAGGTTGCTTAATCTCTGGGCTTCATGTTTTTCACAGTAAAATGAGGATTGTAATTGTTCCTACCTAATAAGGTTATTGAGAGGATGATATGGGTTTATATGTAAAAAGCTCTTCTAAGTGCCTGACCAATATTAAATGCTTAATTAATGTGAATTAATTGTTTTATTATTATGTGAAGAGTTGTTATGGGGAAGGAAGTGGAATTAAGTGTGTCCTGTTCTAGTAAAAGGAACTTGGAGGCAGGTCTTGCTTGCTTTCAACAACATCCAATAGTCATCTTTCAAACCCCTGTTATGTCCCAGGGCCTTGGAATTATAGCAACAGATAAAACCAAGTCCCTGCCTCATGCAGCTTCCATTCCAGTGGGATCAACTTAGGGCAATGTACCAGCATAGGAACATCCCTGTGGTAGTGACATCCAACTTTCAGGGACCTTCCAACCTAGCCTGTTGACTTCATGAAATTCAGTGGCTCATCACCTTAGTCTCTAGGAAGTTTTCCTGACTGAAAGCGAGGCCAGTTCAGGTGAATTGTTCAAGTTCCAGCTGATTCGTAGCCCGGAATGTTTCCTTCCTCAAGGGTTTCAGGAGTTTGAGATCCTTACTAGGTCACCCAGTGCACTTCTCCCCTTGCCCCATTGCAGTTGGGTTTACCCAGATTAAATCTGGTAAATCAAAGTTAATTTGAAGAGTTACAGTATTAAGAAGAACAGAAGAAAAGAGGGAAAAGAAGCCTCATATTGTTTGGTGGTAAGGATGGGCAGATTTGGGGCAGACTTTAATTTTTTTTTATATAAGATTTTATTTACTTATTCATGTGAGACAGAAGGCAGAGACACAGTCAGAGGGAGAAGCAGGCTCCATGCAGGGAGGCCGATGTGGGACTCGATCCCAGAACTCCGGGATCATGCTCTGAGCCTAAGGCAGGTGCTCAACTGCTGAGCCACCCAGGCGTCCCTGAGGCAGACTTTAAATGGAGGAGACTCAAAGCCTTTTTTACTGTGTTCAATTTTTGGTGTCCTCTCTCCTCAGACCCACTCCTCGTCATCACCCAGCCTATGACTGTAACAGAACAAGTCATCCTCCATCCCCAAACCCCACAGAGTCCAAGGCTAACTACTCCTCCCCATACCTGGGAAATGCCCTCCCCTCAGGGCAGCTATGCCCTTCACGCATTTATTGTTTCGGTGACTTTAATGAGTGAGTGCCTGGTTTGTGCCAAGCACAAGGTCACACACAAAGGATGGAACAGAGGTCAAGACAAAGTCTCATAGAGCTTATTCTCATTATTGTTAGTGCTCTGGAGGAATTAGAGGTTTTCTTTAAGGGTAGGGACAGAGGGAGAGGGAGAGAGAATCTCAAGCATGCTCCATGCCCAGCGCGGAGCACAGTGTGGGGCTCAGACTCACCACCCTGAGATCATGACCTGAGCCGAAATCAAGAGTCAGATGCTGGGACACCTGGGTGGCTCAGCGGTTGAGCACCTGCCTTCGGCCCAGGGCGTGATCCTGGAGTCCTGGGACCGAGTCCCACATTGGGCTCCCTGCATGGAGCCTGCTTCTCTGCCTCTCTGTGTCTCTCATGAATAAATAAATAAAATCTTAAAAAAAAAAGAGAGAGAGAGAGAGACGCTTAACCAACTGAGCCACCCAAGCATCCCAGGAATTAGAGTTTTGAAATAGAAAATATTGAGGGTCAGGGGATTGGCAGCTTTACAAAGGGCAGTCAGAGGAAGCCTGTCTGGCTGAAAAGTGAGGAGTCAGATGTGGAAGAGCCAGGTGAAGAGGATTCTGGGCAGAGGGAGCAGTGACCCCTGAGAGGGAGGAAGGCCTTTAGGGCTGCAGTATAGGGACCCCACTCAGGGAGGCTCAAGTGAGGACAAGTAAGGAGCTCACTGGGGGATGTGGGACAGTAGAAACAAGTCATGAGTTCACTGAGATCAGCAGGAACCAAGTGATAAAAACCTTCAAGCCCATAGTGAGTCGGGTAAGGTGATGAATCTGGTTTCTGGCTTAAGCATTAGAATGCATGTGTTGCTTTTTACTGAGAAAGCATGAAGCCAGACAGGGCTTTAGAATTTGAACAGTTCTATTTGGGGACTTCTAAGTTTAGGAGGTACAAACAGGTTTGTGAAAGAAACAACCAAAATGTTCAGCTAGCAGACAGGCAGTTGGAAATGGGCCGGTACTGGGAGCATGATTCTCTAGCCCATTCCTCAGTGAAATACTTTGGTTCTTTTTTTTCTTCCTTCTAAAACAAACCAAATGTGAGAGTACATAGTGTTTACAGTGAGAAATACTGCTTCTTGTCTCAGTGAAGGTGGATCCGTTCTTTTAGGTTTGTCGCCTTGGGGGATCCCTGGGTGGCGCAGCGGTTTGGCGCCTGCCTTTGGCCCAGGGCGCGATCCTGGAGACCCGGGATCGAATCCCACGTCGGGCTCCCGGTGCATGGAGCCTGCTTCTCCCTCTGCCTATCTCTCTCTGTGTGTGTGTGTGACTATCATAAATAAAATAAAATTTAAAAAAAGGAGTATTTGTAAAAAAAAAAAAAAAAAAGATTTGTCGCCTTGGAGAATTGTGACAATCTCCTACTGTTACCTCTTGTTTCCTCTTTTAAACCGCAGGTCAGCACCTCTTCTCTGGGTACTTTTCCAAAGCAAGTGAAAATTGTGGAAGTTGGTGCCCGAGATGGACTACAGAATGAAAAGGTAAAGATAGAAATCAACCAAAAGAGGTTTTTTGAGCAGTAAGAGTTGCCTGTGGAGGGCACAGCAGGGATGGACGGAGTTATGCAAGATATGATCACCCCACCCAAAACAGAGCAAAGTCAGGGAGGCCAGGCAGGCGCATGACAGTAAAGCAATCTAAAATGGCAGAGCAAAAAGTATGGTGTCCCTGGGTCCATCTCAAAGCTTCGTGGAGCAGTGCAGATGGTAAAGGCTGCAGGAGAGTAAGGGGAGTGTGAGGGCATGCCTCTCATCTGGTAATTCTAATTCCATGTAAGGGGACTCATCCAAAGAACATCATGAAGGCCACCTGCAAAGACTTAGCCTTAGAGATGTTCCTCACAGCCTCATAATGAAACAGTTGGAAACCACCTCAGTGCTCAGTGCGGAGAAAGTCCAGATACTTTATTTATTTATTTATTTTAGTCCAGATACTTTAATGATTTCATAAAATGGATTAGGAAGCTGTTACTAATAGAAGACTATGTTAAATGACTGAAGCAGATTATAAAATAAGATACGTTTTCATTAATTTTATTTTTCATGTAAAGAGACTTTATATATCTGTGGGAACATCTGTCTAGAAAAGGATCTATTTTATTTTATTTTTATTTATTTATGATAGTCACACACAGAGAGAGAGAGGCAGAGACACAGGCAGAGGGAGAAGCAGGCTCCATGCACCAGGAGCCCGATGTGGGATTCGATCCTGGGTCTCCAGGATCGGGCCCTAGGCCAAAGGCAGGCGCCAAACCGCTGTGCCACCCAGGGATCCCTAGAAAAGGATCTAGAACAGTGCTGTTCAGTAGCACTTGCTGTGAAGATGGAAACATTTTAGATGTGAGCTGTTCTGGGCAAGTGGCTATTGAGTATTTAAAATATGGCTAGCGTGGTCGGGGAACTGAAACTTTGTTTTTATGTTATTTAAGTTAATGCAAATTTAAATAACCACATATGGCTGGTGTCTAATGTACTGGACTACACAGATCTAGAATGTCACATTATCAGAGCATTACTAGTGTTATCTCTGGGAGATTTTAAGGATTTTCTTTTGTTTGGGGCACGTTTTCTGAAATAATTGTACGTGATTTTTTTTTCAATCATATACAATCAAGAGAAGCTTTTTATTTTTTTATTTTTTGGAAAGCCTAGCTATAATAGAGCTTATTGATAACAATAAACTGTAAGCTCTGTGAGAGCAGAATCATGTCTGTTCTGCTCACTGCTGTATCCCTAGCACCTAGCACAATCCCTGAAACATGGAAAATTCTCAGAAATTACTTTTGGGATGGATTAAGGTAAAGCAATGGAAGAAAGATTGAGAGGGTTGGGATGGAAGGGCCTGGTGAGAAGGACTTGCAGTTCTTGGAATTTTTTTTTACCTGATACTGTAAGCACTAGGGAGCCATGGAAGGCTTTTGAGGAGAGTGAAACAATGGAGACTGTTTTAGAAAGATTCCTGTGTGGGATGAATTACTAGAGTGAGACCATGCCGTAGTAGGTAGGGGAGAATGATAGATTTGGAAAGAGGGATCCATAGAATCTGGCGAGCAGCTAGGCATGGTAGGGGAGGGATAGAAAGAAGCAATAGGTCAATCATGTGAGGACAAAGTCCTGTGCCAGTTAGGAGACAGTAAGGGGGATGGTGTGATCCTTTGGGGGCCCCATCTCATAAGACCCAGACAGAGGGTTAGTCCTCTCTGCCCTTTCAGGCCATGGCACATTGCTCTCAATTTGTTTATGATGGGGTCATAAATTAACAGTTAAGAAAAAACTTTTATGATAGAAAAATATTGTTTCCATGTAAATATTAACTCCTTTTCAGGCGAGAAGCTGCCTCCACTGCAAAATGCTACCTGGCAAGGATTATGTGTGAATTCGTGTTCATGTTTGGAACCCGAGATAGTGAAGTGCATGCTGTAGCAGAGCTTTGAACTACCAGGCACTGATCTAAGACCATTTTATTCCCATTGTTGCTAACCTGTCTTTTCTGGCATTTCTCTCTCCATTACAGAATATTGTATCTACTTCTACAAAAATCAAGCTGATAGACATGCTTTCAGAAGCAGGACTCCCTGTTATAGAAGCCACCAGCTTTGTGTCCCCCAAGTGGGTTCCCCAGGTGAGCCCCAGCCCTCAGTAATAAGCATTTCTCAGATGAAAGAGGTGAGGTTTGCATTTGCTCTGGAAGTAAGGAGAGGTTGGGAACAGAGGTCTCCAGTTCTCTGGCTTGGTCTCAGGTGACTTCTAGTAGCATGGTACAGCAGAAGAACATCACCTGGAAGGCAGGAGGCATGGCTCCTGTCTTGGCTTTGCCCCCGGTGCACTTGGGGACCTTGAGGTCTTTCCCTCTCCAGACTGAGGGTTACCTCTCGGGCCTCTTCTGGCTCTGGAAGTCTGGAATCTCTAGCCCTGTCTAGAGATGTGGTGTCTGGTTTGTAAAAGGGAAAGACAGACAACAGCTCTTTCATAGAAACAATCATGTGGGAAGAAAGATCCTTTTTCAGCTGAGTGTTAAGTAACACAGAGTCATTCTCAGGAAGTGGCTGCCAGTGTTGTTACTGCTTATGTGAAGCTGGCAGGATTAGCCAAAGAGAGAAACTGAGGGACTTACTGGCACCAGAGAGCCTTCTGGCCCATCAGCGGTCAAATAGATAGTAAAAGCACGGGGGAGGGCAGCCCCAGTGGCTCAGCGGTTTGGCGCTGCCTTCGGCCCAGGGCGTGATCCTGGAGGCCCAGGATCAGGTCCCACGTCGGGCTCCCTGCATGGAGCCTGCTTCTCCTTCTGCCTGTGTCTCTGCCTCTCTCTCTGTGTCTCTCAAGAATGAATGAAATAAAATCTTAAAAAAAAAAAAAAGCACGGGGGAGACACAGCTCTGCAAGAGGACTCACTCTCCAATGGTTCTGGACAACAGATTTTGTGATAAAAATGTTTTCTCAGGGCACCTGGGTGGCTCAGGCAGAAAGCATCTGCCTTCAGCTCAGGTCATGATCCTGGAGTCCCAAGATCGAGCCCCACATCCGGGTCCCTGTCTGTTTCTCCCTCTGCCCCTCACCCTGTCTGTGCACGCGCATGTTTGCGCTCTCGCTCTCTCTCTCATAAAAACAAGACAAAACAAAAAAATGTTTTCTCTACCTGAGCTCTCTGCCTGCCTTGGCAGTGACGTGGCCATGTCTCCTTTGGCTCCCAGATGGCTGACTGTGCTGAAGTCTTGAAGGGCATCCAGAAATTTCCTGGCATCAACTACCCAGTCCTGACCCCAAATATCAAAGGCTTCCAGGCAGCGGTAAGAAACTTGATGGCAGAGGTCCCTGAAATGAGATTGATGGCATTGGTCCCTGTCTTGTCAATGGGCCCTAGTCCCTGTCCTGGGCTGTTTGTATGAAGTAATGATGAGCACTGTCAGAGAGACCCAAGGCAGTCCTGGTTCTTGCACCCTCAGCTCTCTGATCTTAACCAGCTACTTAACCTCCCTGAGCCTCAGATTCTGCCTGTAAGTTAGAGCTGATCATAGTACCTAGTGCTGGGAGGATTTCAGAGGATACGATGCGTTACTTGCCAAGAGCCTGGGAGAAGGGAAGCACTTAATAAGTATTAGCTCCATAAAAAAAAAAAAAAAAAAAAGCATTGGCTCCTGTTATTATTATCCATTCCTCTTTAAAGAAGGTGCTCACACTCCCCACAGGGGTTGCTAGTATCTGCCCTCTTTCTTAGAGGGTTGGACAAGAACATCATTAGGGATTCTGATTCTGAATTTAGGCAGAAAGCTGTTCTTAAGAGTGATGTCCAGGGTGATGATGGCGGCAGCAGTGCTGGTCTTTGGGGGAAGGCCAAGGGTGATGCTGTTTCTTTAATGGAGATATAATTCACTGTGTTAATTTCCATAAGAAAAAAAAAGCTAGGTGGCTTAAAACAACAGAAACGTATTCTTTCACAACTCTGGAGGCAAGAAGTCTAAAATGTGTTGGTAGGGCTGGTTCCTTCTGAGGGCCAGGAGGACCAATCTGTTCCATGGCTCCCATAGCTTCGGTAAAGATTGGCAGTCCTTGGCATTCCTTGGCTTGTATACCTCATTCCCATTCCCGCCTCCATCTTCACTGGCCTTCCCCTCTGCATGTGTCTTCACGTGGCCTCCGTCTTAGAAGGACGCCCCTCATATTGGAGTCAGGACCGCTGTGACCTCATTTTAACTAACAGTTTCTACACCCACCCTATTTCCAGATAAGGCCACATTCTGAGGTGCTGGGGATTGGGACTCCTACAGATCTTTTTTTGAGGAGGACATAGTTCAGCCCACAGTACTTGTGTATTATAAAATTCGCTGTAAGAAAAGGGCTTTGCCACGCTGGTGTTCCTCAAAGAGAAGAAGGCTGAAAGGAATTCACCGTGCTGTTGGCAGGTTGCTGCTGGAGCGAAGGAGGTGACCATCTTTGCAGCTGCCTCGGAGCTGTTCACCAAGAAAAACACCAATTGCTCCATTGATGAGAGTTTACAGAGGTCCGACGACATCTTCAGGGCAGCTCGGGCCGCCGGTATCCCTGTGCGTGGGTGAGTCAAGACTGCCTTTCCCTCAGTACCATTCTGGAAGGGGGCCAGGCTCTGACTCCAGCCACCCTCCCCCTACAAACTCCTCATCCGGGCTGCATGCTGCCCACACTCCACATCTTTCCTCAAGCAGCTGTGGTCAAATCCTGGCAGGTGCTTTCTCCAAATTTGGTTTTGGGGTCAGTTCACCAGAGGAATCCAGCAGGACTGGACACTAACTGGGGTTTGTGGAGGCCAGATGAATCCCAGCTCCACCACCTCCTCTTCACACATGTCTAAAGAGCCCCCTTGGCCCCTAGGTCTCCAACGTCACATCTTTAATGGCAGGAGTGCCAGGCGTTATCCAGTTTGTTATTTAACTGTGACCTCACAGTCTCCCAGCAGGGAGGGCTGTCCTTGCTTCCAGATGACAGCTGGCTCAGGAAGGCTGAAGGGTGAGGTTGCCCCACTGTTCACACTGCAGCCAGAGTGCTCTTTCAGAAATGCACATCTGATCACCTCACTCCCTGGTTAAAAACCTGTCAATGACTCCCCGACTTCGGGCTTTTCAACCTGTTTATAAGACCCTGCCTTTCTCTGCAGCCTCCTCATTCACTGTTCCTCACTTTCCAGCCCCATCTCCTCAGCACACTGCATTCCAGCTTGACTGGAACTTTGTTCCTTGTGTCACATGCTCCCACTCTCTCACCTCTGGGCCTTTGCACGTGCTTTCCATAGACTCAGCACTGTCTTGCTCCTACGTCCTATTTGCGCTAACTCCTGCTCATCCTTCAGATCCCCACGGGGAGGCCAGCTTCTCCAGGGAGCTTTCTCTATCTGTCAGCTGGTGTGGTGCCTCTTGTCAGGCTCTCCTGGCCCCCTGGACTGCATGTTGGCTTCTCCCCTGCCTCCCGCCCCCTCTAGACCATGCACCCCACAAGGGCAGAGCCCACACACCAGTGTTCCTGGTGGGCTCCTTCCCGCATCACAGGGCCGGGACACTCAGGAAGTGAGGGTGCATGGGGAAGCAGGGGCCCCTAGGGTCTGCCTGACTCCCAAGCCTGTGCTCATTCCTCATCATCTCCCTGTCCTTGTTCAGCAATGTTTGGAGTACAAGGGGCAGAAAGAAGTTTGAGAAAACACCCTGAGATCTTTGAGCCTGAAATTACATGTGTGATGCCTCTCACAGGCAGAGCAGTTTGTAGACTCTGAGAGGCTTCAGTGGGGCCTTAGCTCCAGCAGAGCAGATAGGAACAGAAGCCCACCAGGACCCAGCCATCCAGACTCCTTCCCACAGCTTGCAAGTTGCGGTGATCAGGCCCGTGCCCAGTGGTCCAGCCACAGGCTGTGCTGCTCTGCCTCTGGCTCTCTGTGCCTCGGCCGTTCTGCCCATCGTTCTGTGGCTTGAGCACACCCAGGGCCTCTGCACTGTTCTCTCTGCCTGGAATGCTCTTCCAGGGACTCTCCCACACCTGTTCCCCTCCTCAGCTCCCACATCATGGCCTCTGAGGCCTTCCTGGGTCACCCCAGTTCCTGTCAGCCTCCCCTAGTTGCTCCTGCCACATCCCCTATTCTTCCCTTCATTGCGCATTACTCTGAGATCATCGCACCCTTCCCTTGGGTTGCTCTTTTATCGGCTCTCTCCCTAACTGGAAATCACCTCCGTGAGGATAGGGACCTTGTCCCTCTTGTTCACTGCGTGACCCGGTGCCTGGCACATAGTGGGCAACTCAGTAAATATCAGTTGAATAAATGAGTGTGTGAATCCTTGGGCAGCCCACTGGAGCAGCTGATCCTTGGCCCCAGGCCAACCCAGCCCTTTTGTTCCTTCTTGGGTTTCATCTGTCCTTGATCCATTCCTGTGAGCAGAGGCCGCAGCTGCCCTTGTGGCACATGTTCTGCTTTATCTCACTACCATTCATCTCAGGTGCCTCCTCACTTTGCCTTCCCTGGCTTCGCTTCTCAGGCCACCCCTGCTTCTGGAGCCAGCGGCCTAATAGGCACCCCCCTCCCCTGCCCTGCCCTGGTTCTCCACTGCCCCCTCCTGGCATTACGCAGCATTCCCTTCATTCTGGCTCCGCAGTATTGACTTGGCCTTTCCCCCAGGCATTTGACCTGCCCTACTTCAGGGATGTGTGTCTGTGTCAAACAGCTACCCTGCGTCAGCCCTGCTGGGGAGCTCAGGGGCACTGACACCATCCCTCCCCTGTCCTCCCACAGGTATGTCTCCTGTGTACTTGGATGCCCCTATGAAGGCAAGATCTCCCCGGCTAAAGTAGTTGAGGTGTGTGTATGTTGGGGCGGGGGTTTTCTGTGGGTTGTCTACCTTGCCTGCCCCTGAGCTTCCCCTTGCCACCCTTTCATGGTGGGTCACTGATGTCATTCCTTCTCCCGCTCCTTCACTAAGCGCCTCTGGGAGCGCAGCCCAGCACCTGCTCCTGGAGTCCCGCCTCCCAGCTTGGCCTGATGCCTCTGAAGCCTTCCCCTCTGCCCCAGCCTGAAAGCCTCTGATTTGGTTTCCAGTCTGGTCCATGGCAGGTGATAGTTGAGGTGATCTGAGGAAGGGTTCCTTCCCCGGCTCCCTGCGGTTCCTTGCGGTGGTCGGAGGGGCCATGGCCTCCGAGTCCTCTGAGCTGTGACCAGGTCAGCACTGGAGAGCGCAGCGTGGGAACTGAGTTTGAGCAACCCCAGAGCTTATGCTGCTTGACTGTCAGTGTCACCCTGCCAATTTGGTGGTGTTAATGCTACTCCATTTCTAAAGCAGGGTAGCAGACTAAATAATTTGCCACATGGCTTGCAGATGGTGACTCTAGGTCTCAACCCCCACTTTACCTCCAAACCCACCTGCTCTTCCTGCACATGGGGTAGCATAGCAGCAAGGAGAGCATGGTGCTGACTGCGCTCCCGTCTCTGCCTCCCCTCCTGTCCCACCAGTCCTCAGTCCTCATTGCCTCCCCACAGAGGCTCACCACGACTCTCGGCTCTCAGAAGAAGCAGTGGAAGCTCCAAAAGGATCAGCCCTTTGCCAGTGCCCCACAGCCAGGGAGCCGCTGCACTGGACTGGTACCCTAGTGTCTGCTGCTCCAGAGCCTGCTCCTTTGCTGCAGCCTCTGCCTCCACCGGCTGTCCTCAGTCGGCTGCCTGGGCACTGAGGGACTCACTGTTCCATCTACCCGGCACACCTCCATTGAGTGTCACCTGTGTCCCTGGCCCTGTCACACCCTCCACCTTCTCTGGCAGCTCATTGTGGAGGCAGCGTCCCCTCAAGTGGGGCATATGCTGCACTGGTTATTCAGTGACTTTCGGGATTTGCAGATGAGCTTCTAAAAGTTGAAGCAGTTATGTACTTCTATTAAAAATATATATCTAGCACCTCAGACCCACGAAATCATAGGTCTTAGGTGAACTTACTGATTCCAGGACTTGGCTCTGACACTGTGTAGGGGCAGTAAGAGTGGAACGAGGTCCAAGACACAGCAGCAGGAGAGGGCAGGAGGACATGGGGCTGCAGTGTAGGGCCGCTCCAGTGACCAGCTCTGTGCCCTCACGTCTCTGCTTTCTAGTGAGTAGATTGGGGAATATAGTTCCCACTCAGTCGTAAGGAGCCCATGATCTGACAGGAATTTGGGGTTTCAAACAGGGCGATGTTCTACACAGGCCCAGGACCCCTGTGTCTGAGGTCCGAAGAATCCGATGTCCTCCAAGTACTTGCTTGCTTGCCTCCCCAGGTCACCAAGAAGATATACTCAATGGGCTGCTATGAGATCTCCCTGGGGGACACCATCGGTGTGGGAACCCCAGGGGTTATGAAGGACATGCTGTCTGCGGTCATGCACGAGGTTCCTGTGTCTGCTCTGGCTGTCCACTGCCATGACACCTATGGCCAGGCCCTGGCCAACACCTTGATGGCCTTGCAGGTATTCAGGACATGAGTCCACTCTCCTAAAGGGGTTAGTGGCAGGACAGCTAGGTTCATGTGTTCTTTCAGTGAGTGTACATGCATAGCTGTGTGCCAGGCCCTGGGCCGGCCACAGTGGACACAGACATGTGACCCTGGCCTATGAGAGTGTGTTAGGGAAGACAGGCAAGGGAGTTTCGTGATAATCCCCATGCGTTCTGACAGATCACATGCAGGGAGGAAGCACATGGCCAAGGAAGGCCTGCATCCCAGCAGGGGAGGTTGGAGAACATTTGCCAGAAGAGACCTGAATGAGGTTTGGAGGGTGTGAGGAAGTTAAGCAGTTGGAAAAGGGAAGCAGGAAGCTGACAGCCCTGTGCTATAAGGCTGAGGTGGGGCTTGGGGGAGGATGCACACCTCCGCCTTGTGAGTACGGTGACTGTGCACATGCACGTGGGGAGCCCCCACAAGGAGATGGGAAGTGGAGAGGCAGGCAGAGGTCACTCCAGGGGAGCCTTTCATGCTGTTCCCAAAGATTGAACTGAGGCTTCAGATTGGGTTTCCTTTAAGGTTTGTTCTTGTGGGCTGACCACCCCTTAGAAGGAAAGTTCTGAGTGTCTGACCACAGGCTGGGTCTGTGTCTTGGGTCTGACCTTGCTGTCACACTGGTTGAAGTCTGGCCTGTTGTCTTTAGGTTCGCTAAAGCAATCCTGGGCCATCTTTGTTTCTTGGTTGGTTTGTGTTTTTCCTTTTTTATTTCTTAGTGGGGTTTTTTTTCTTCTTCTTTCTCTTACCTCCTGGAGGCTCAGGTCTCTAAGCCACGTGATTCGGTAACTTTCTGGGTTTGGTTTCTCCATTGTAGCTGTCCAGGTTAAGGTCTGATGGGGGAGGAAAAAGGAACAGTCATAGGGAGAATGGCTGGTGGAGACCCAGGGAAATGGGATAAGCCCCCTGGGCTTAGAGACCCGACATGAAGTGAGAGCAGCCTCAGGCGGCGGTGGTGGGGTGGGTAAATGAGTCACAGTAAACAACAGGGGACTGAAATAAATCTCAGCTGTGGGAGGCACTTCCTTTGAGTTTGTGATCCGGAAGGGCCTGAGGAGACCTCTCAGGGTGAGGAGTTGAGAGGAACCGGTGTCCACAAAAAAGATGCATACTGTTGAACTAAAAAGAGAAACATTAACAGAATCCTTAGCCAAAGTAAAGAACTTGTTGGAATTTTAGGGAGTTGATTGGGAGGTTTGCCAAGGAACAGCTTTGTAGGTTCTGAGCCCCACAATGACACCCACATTTCACCATCCTTGTGTTTCCAGATGGGAGTGAGTGTGGTGGACTCTTCCGTGGCAGGACTTGGAGGCTGTCCCTATGCACAGGGGGCATCTGGAAACTTGGCCACTGAGGACCTTGTCTACATGCTGTCTGGCTTGGGCATTCACACAGTAAGCGCGCCTGCCCCCTAGTGGCGACAGCCCCGAACTGACTGGAACCATCCCTGAAGGCAGAGGACAGAGCTGATGGTTTTGTTTAGGGGTTTTTTTGGTGATAGGGCAGTTACCAGGTAACAGAGAGGCACCAAGGTGTAGGGAAAGGGCCACATCCATGACCTGAGTCCCTTCCCTCTGGATCTTTGTTCTGTGTAGAATGAGGGCTGGAGAAGGAGATGGCCCTCCCCAGAGCTCTGTCAGAGTCGGTGAGGGCCCTCGGTGGTGGGTTGGAAGCCGTATTGCTTCTGAACTTTGGGGCCAGGTGGAACTTGGTTTAAACCCTAGTCCTGCCATTGACAGGCTGTGTGACTTAACAAAGGGCCTCTGTGGGCCTAAGAAACAGGAATGCTGACAGCACCTCTTGTGGGCCTGTAGTGAGGACTAGGTAGGACAACGGACGCACCTGTGAGCTCCTGTCATGGGTTTTCAGGGTGGCCTTTTCAGGTAGTGTGTCCCCCCCACCTCCCAATCCATGCTGCCTGGCAGTCTTCACTACTTCAGTACACACTTGTCAACGACTGCAGGCCAGGTCCTGTGCAGGGCTCTGGAGATGGGGACTGAACAAGACTGTCGAGACCCCTGCGCTCCCTGGTGGCAGCACTGGACACCAATCCACAGACTAAGGCATCTTCTACAAGGAGAGTCCCAGGGGTAACCCCAGACGGCAGGAGGCTGGGCCTTGCAGGCAGGGGCAGTCCCGGCATAAGAGGGACCTGTACTCTCAGTATCACGGTTTTCTGTCATCTGATATTTCCCTGGGCGTTGCAGGCATGTCATGACCTAGTGCGTTGTTTCTCAAAGGGTGTGAACCTCCAGAAGCTCCTGGAAGCTGGAACCTTTATCTGCCAAGCCCTGAACAGAAAAACCAGTTCCAAAGTGGCTCAGGCTACCTGTAAACTGTGAGTCCCTTTGGGGGACTCTGTGGGAATAGGGGCACACATGAATGATTCGGGAAAGGGCACATGGGAATGAAATGAACAGGAGCAGGCACCTGCCTGGCAGGTCTGCACCTAGGTCTCTCCTGCAGAGGGGAGGTGGGAGGTAAGGGACAGGAGCTGCTTGGCCCCAGGCCCTCCCTGCCAGACCCTGGTTGGAGTCAGAAGCCTGAGCGCCTGCGGGTCTCCTTGGATCCACCCGCCCAGGAGTTGAAAGCCTGGGGGCTCCCTGGAACCAAGTTCCCTGGTGCTGAGGCCTCATCTCCGGGCGAAGTCGGTCAGCTAGCTACACAGCCTGACCCTGCTGTGGCCATCGCTGAGTCCGGAGAGCAAAGGGGCCTGGAGGAGTTACTCCCAGGCTGGCAGAGGGCCTTTGCGGAAGGGCTTGAGGCCTGAGCTGCTCTGCTGACCACCTGCCAACCCTTCCAAGCGTCTTTGGAAAATGTCCCCTCTGAACATGATGTTTGAACACAGCTTATGTAATTAAAGGTCTGATGACACGGAAGCATGCGGTACTGCTGTTGTGCAGGTGTGTGTGCATGGGGGGCCACAGCGTGGCGTTCCGGAGGGCCATGTAGACGCGGACCTTCTCCATTTCCCCGCCCGAGCCCCGCATTCATTCCTGAACACCAGCGGCTGCGGGCCGGCTCAGGCGTGGCCAGGACACCCTGACAGGTGGGGGCGCGGGCGCTGCCGTCCGTCCGTCCGCCGCTTCTGCTGCGCTGTGGGCTGCGCGCGCGCTGTGGCTGCTCACGCAGGAGGCCACGACTGTGCCCACCTTTCCTCTCAGCAGAAGCACCTCATCTCGTGGCCGAGTCGCGGGCAGGGTGCGGACACGGCGGCCCGGGCGGAGCCGAGCGCAGGCCGCAGCGCCATCCCCCGGGCCTCCGCGCCAAGCCGGCCGGGCGCGGGGGCCGCAGACCAGCCCTCCCGGAGCCAGCCTCCTCCGGCCGGCGCCGCCCCGACCGCCGCGGCCGCTCGCCGGGGCCGGTTTCCGGCGGGGCTGCCTCCGAACGGGCTCGGCGGACACGCAAGGCTGGGGGGGGAGGCGGTGCGCGCGGAGCCCGGCTCGTCCGCCCCGCCCTCGGCCCGCGGCTCCCTGGGGCCCGCGCCTCCGCTCCGACCCCGGCCCCAGCCCCGGCGCCGAGCCGCGCAGGCGCCCTGACGCCGCGGCCCCTGGTCCTCCCGGCGCCCCGTAGCCCGCGCTCCCCGGTGACACGTTTCCTTGGGGGCGGGGAGAGGGCGGGGCCGGGCGGGCCGTCGGCTCTTAAAGGGGCCCGGGCCCGGGGCGCGGGAGGCGGCGCCGCTGGAGGCAGTGCGGGGCGCGCGGTCCGAAGCAGGTTCGGGAGCCGAAGGGTGGGAGGCCTGGCGGGCTCGCGAGGGGCCGGGTGGGCTGCGGGGAGCGAGGGAGGACCTCGGGGGTCCCGGTTGCGTCCTGGGCAGGGTCCCAGTAGGGCGGGCCCCGCGGCTCCCTGCTCCCGCCGCCCTGGCTGGGCGGCCCTGGTTCATTCATTCCCGACCCGGGGGCTCCGAGCTCGGACCTCGGAGAGCCACGGCCCCAATCCCAGCCCGACGCCGCCTCCCCTCCATTTTGCAGACTGGGGACACCGAGGCGGCCACAGCCGAGGGGTCACCCCGCCGGTGGGGGGGCGAGGCTGGGCTCACCAGCCTTCCGGCCTCCTGGGGTCCCCCCGCGACCCCTCTGCGGGCTTCCGCCTGGCGGAGTGGGGGTGGGGCGGCCTCGGCGCCCGGAGCAGAGTCCAGCGGGCGCGGGGGGCGGGGGGTGGGGAGGGCGAGCTGCTCGGTGCGAGGCTGGCGGGCTGGAGCCCGGCTCTCTCAGCTGTGTGTCTCCAGGCAGATTCCCTCCCCTCTCGGACCTGAGTATCCTTCTGGGTAGAGCGGCAGCAGCGCGCCTGCCTCGTCAGGAACCCAGGAGGATAATGCAGAAGCGCCCGCTCCGGAGCCTGGCGCGCCGCGGCGCTCGGTGCAGTGGGCGGGAGTGGACGCCCGGAGGGAGAGGGAGGCAGCCGGCCCCGCCGAATGAAAGACCTCAGTGTCTGGAGCCCGGAGCCCTCCCGCGCCCCCCCCCCCCCCAGCCCGCAGTTTGTTCAGGGCGGAGGCGCACACCTGGCAGTGGAGCCGGGACCAGGGCCACGTCTACAGGCCCGGCTGCGAGCCGCCTGAGGTGGGGTGGGATCCTCGGCTCCCAGCGGGCAGTGACCCGGCTGGCCCTGGCCCCGCTGCTGGGTGCGGCCCCCTCCAGGACCTCGGTGCTGCAGCCTGGCACAGCACCCCACCCTGGGGCCATTGGCTGTATTTCCTGCTTCCTCCCAGCCGACTCTTGAGGGAGAGGAGAGGAGTCGAGGGCAGCCTGGAGCAGGAAGTCCTCATCACTGGGCGGCTCACACCTGGGAGGGCAGAGGGGCTGCGAAGGCCCCAAGGCGAGCAGAGCGCCTCTTCCTGGGCTCTCGCTCATCCTCTCAACCCCAGGTGCGCCGGGCCTGACACCGTGGTGCCTGCGCATCGGTCTCCCCGCCCGTAACGTGACAGGCTGTTCAGGTCCCCTCACTTAATCCTCACTGCCACATGATGTTTGTACAATAAGCTCCAACTCCTAGAGATGGAAACTGAGGCCAGGAGAGGATAACTGCTCTAAGGCCAGAAAGAGGTGGCATCCAGACTCGGACGGGGGCTGATTCCAGAGCCACCCTATTAACTAGGACACGCTACTGCCTCCCTCCGACGTTAGACGGAGGCCCTGAGCAGGCCGTCTCGGCCACCTCCAACACTATATTCTGGGCCAGGTACCATGGCAGAGAAGGTGCTGGTGACAGGCGGGGCTGGCTACATCGGCAGCCACACAGTGCTGGAGCTGCTGGAGGCCGGCTATTTGCCCGTGGTCATCGACAACTTCCACAATGCCATTCGTGGTGAGCACAGGGGTCGGGGGCCAGGGCTTCAGGCAGGGATGGAAGGAACCGTGGGTCCCGCCTCCACCTGTGGGTGTGGGTCAGCCTCGTCCCCTGGGAGCCCAGGACCCGTGTCCTCCTTTGATGGCTTCCTCGTGCCCAACCAGGAAAGGGCTCCATGCCGGAGAGCCTGCAGCGGGTTCAGGAGCTGACGGGCCGCTCTGTGGAGTTTGAGGAGATGGACATCTTGGATCAGGCAGCCCTCCAGCGTCTCTTCGAGAAGGTGGGTCCTGCAGGCAAGGGGGCCTGGCCGAGGGCCAGGCCTGTAGAGCAACAACCTCTGACCCTGGCTCTGCCCCTGTAGCACAGCTTTACGGCAGTCATCCACTTTGCGGGCCTCAAGGCCGTGGGAGAGTCCGTGCAGAAGCCTCTGGATTATTACAGAGTTAACCTGACGGGAAGCATCCAACTGCTGGAGGTGAGACGTGCGGCAAGGGCACAGACACCAGGAGGCCCCCACCAGGCGGGTGTGCCAGACACGGTGGATGAGGGCCCGAAGGGGAGGGTCAGGCAGGGGGCCCACGCTGTATCATCTTAGATCCCGGTCTCTACATCTCTGCCTCGATCTCCCCACCTGCAAGCCGCAGCCCCTCCCACCCGGGTGGGGGGGAAGGGACTTGTGAGGCCAAGGCCCCTGACACTGCTCCCCCCACCCACCCGCTGGTGGCCAGATCATGAGGGCCCATGGGGTGAAGAACCTGGTATTCAGCAGCTCAGCCACTGTGTACGGGAACCCACAGTACCTGCCCCTGGATGAGGCCCACCCCACAGGTGGCTGTACCAACCCCTACGGCAAGTCCAAGTACTTCATCGAGGAAATGATCCGGGACCTGTGCCAGGCAGACAAGGTAAGGGCCCACCCTGCCCCAACCCGGGTTCCACTCACGGACTCAAGGCCTCCCCCGACCCTGAGGGTGGGATTCTGAGCACTGCCCACCTAGGCAGAAGTGGCAGGGACTTGCCCACCAGTCAGAGCACTGGGTGGACAGACACAGACCAGGCATAGAGGGGGCATGGGGTAAAAAGCTCTGGATTCAGCCTGGACACAGCCAGCGCGTCACCTGACCTGTGTCCCACAGGCCTGGAATGCAGTGCTGCTGCGGTACTTCAACCCCATAGGCGCCCATGCCTCGGGCTGCATTGGCGAGGATCCCCAGGGCATCCCCAACAACCTCATGCCCTATGTTTCCCAGGTAAGGGAGAAGGGGAGGGTCAGGGGACGGGGTGGCCCTAGGACTGAACGGAACAGCTGGTGCCAAGGGCCTGGGAAGAGCTGACCTGACTTCCACCCCAGGTGGCAATTGGGCGACGGGAGGTGCTGAATGTCTTTGGTAATGACTACGACACGGAGGATGGCACAGGTGAGCCCAGGACCATGAGGATCCAGGAGTGGGAGCCAAGGCCATATGGGGTCAGAGACTCTGCTGAGCAAACCCCGCACCCAACCACCTCTTCCGCAGGTGTCCGGGATTATATCCATGTTGTGGATCTGGCCAAGGGCCATATCGCGGCCTTGAGGAAGCTGAAGGAGCAGTGTGGCTGTCGGGTAGGGAGAGAGGGAGAGGCGGTCCCAAGGGGGTAGTTAGTTCAACCTGCTCTCTAACGCCGCCCCCTCTCCCGGGCAGATCTACAACCTGGGCACGGGCACAGGCTACTCGGTGCTACAGATGGTCGAGGCCATGAAGAAGGCTTCTGGGCAGGAGGTAGGCCAGCTGCCCCCCTGGGCTCCCCTCCCATGAGCCTCCCTGATGGGCTCCTCTGCCTGCCTTGGTGCTGGGTGCCTGTACCTGCGTTTCTGAGCCTGGTGGGCAGCCAGGTGGCTGAGGCCAGGGCCAGCTAAGACCACTTCATCTCTGGCAGATCCCATACAAGGTGGTGGCACGGCGGGAAGGCGACGTGGCTGCCTGTTATGCCAACCCCAGCCTGGCCCTCAAGGAGCTGGGCTGGACAGCCGTCTTAGGGCTGGACAAGATGTGTGAGTCTCTGCCCCATCCCCAGCCCCCACCCCGACCCCTGGGAGGAGTCAGAGGCTTGGGGGGCTGACTGGGTCTGAGCATGCCCAACCTGGGCTGCCCGAGCTGGTGGGAGCCCTGCATCCCAGCATGGCCCCTCTGCGCACTTGCCCATCACAGGTGAGGACCTGTGGCGCTGGCAGAAGCAGAACCCTTCAGGCTTTGGTGGCCAGGCCTGAGGCTCTCCCCTGCCATGCATAGGAGAGGAGACAAACGACAGCCTGCTCTCCGGCCTCTGGTGGGCACCCATGACCTCAGCCTCCCTACCTCAAGCCCCACCCAGCTGGGCCTGCTCAGCCCGCTGGGCACAAGGCCCAGTGCTGTGCTGGGCAGAAGTTGGGGCTCGAGCCCTTCAGGCTCCAGGAAGCATCGGGACCACCAGAAGCGAACGGGGGAGCAGGGGCCCTGGGACAGGCACTAATTTATACTGCTCTGAAAGAGCTTCCCAAAGTATTTAAAATAAAAGTTTTTTAACATTGGGACAGAATTCTTGCACGTGGTCACTCTCTACCCCTTGGATAGAATCATCCAGCCTGAGATCTGAAGCAATTTAATTTTATCGGAATCCAGGACACAACAAGAAAAACACCCAAACCACATGGAGACAGAAGACGAGACACAACTCCTCCCCCACCTCCCCCCTGGCCCTAGAGTGGGGACGTTGGGGGGCGGGACAGCTGGGGGAGACCTTGAGCCTCAGTCCAGCCCAGCAGGCTCCAGGCCTGGGGGGGAACTGGGGGAGGGGAGGCAGGGCGCACCCCCACGTTGGAGAGGCTGAGGGAAGGCCCCCCTGGAAGGACTGCCCCCTCCCCAACACCCTTGCTGAGGGGCAGGTAGCCCACAGCAGCACGAGGGCCCAGGGCCATGGACACATTCATGATTGAGAAGCAGCTGGAGGGCAGGAGGAGAGACAAACGATTATCTGGGCAGAATCACTTGGGGGAGGAGTAGTGGGTGGGGCCTGGAAGGGCCCCATGGGCCAAACCCTGAGGTCACAGGAGGGGGCCCAAAGCGGGGCTAGTGAGTGAGGTCCTGAGTGAGTGGGTCAGCGGCTTGGGCCCCTTTCTCCCGGCTTGGGCCCCTTCCTCCCGCTGCCTACAGCCCCTCCAATACTGCTGCCAGGGGGCCCCCGCCTCCAGGGACACGGGAGAAGGGCGGCCCACCCCCTGCTGCAGACAGCCAGGGGGCTGAGGCCTGGTCAGGCCTCGGCCCGCCTGCCCCAGAGGCTATGGGAAGAGGACAGGTCAGGGATGGTGGGGACGGGGGCTCGACCGGCTCAGATCCAAGATGGTGCCGTGCGTGCTGGGTCCCCAGGAGCTGGGGGAGTGCGCTGGAGGCCAGCGACTGGTTAGACAGGAGGCAGCAGCTTCTCAAGAAACTCCTTCACCGCTGCCATCTCCTGGGGGTGAGGCAGGACTGTGAGAAGCTCCCAGCTGGAGGGAGGAGGGAGAGGGCTGGGAGTAGGAAGCGGCCCCTCATCACTGACCTGAGGACAGGAGCTGTGCATGACACCTGGGTAAGTCTTGAACTGGACCCTGGCAGGTGTGACAACGGACCGGAGCTTCTCAGCCGTCAGGGCCCCAAACCGTACTGGAACCATGGGGTCCAGCTCCCCATGGCACTGAAGGATGGCCAGGTCCTTGGCACTGCCATTGGCTGCCTGTGGGCCAGACAGGCCCCGGAGGGCAAAGCCAGTGCTTCGGCACAATCCCCAAACCACGAGGAGACTCCAAGGGCAGGAGTGGGACCATGGAGACACTCACCTGGGGGAAGGCCCGGTGCAGAGGCAGCCAACAGCTCAATGCCACAATGCCAGCCAGAGGGTGGGGACAGGTAAGGGCCGTGTAGAGGGACAGGGCCCCACCCTGGAACAGAGAATGAGAGGTCATGAGGGGACAGTTGTTCACCTACCACCCCCACCCTCTCTCTCTCCCCTCACCTGTGAAAAGCCTCCCAGGACAATTCGGTTGGCAGGGATCCCATTCTTCATCTCATGCTCGATCAAGGCCTTGACTGGAGGGAGGGGGCATGACTGGGTAGGGGAAAAGCTGCTGGGGGCCCGGGGAAGGAGCCCGATACTGCCCAACGCTTTCTTGGGGTTGGGAGGGCGGTGGAGGGGAAGGAGGGTGGATGCTGAGGAGGGGCTGGGCCTTACTGTTCTCTGCTGCCTTCTTGATGCCAGCCTCGTCCTCTGGGGCATCTGGACTTAGCCCCATCAGGTCAAACCTGGGAGAGGACAAGCGTTGGCTCCTGGAAGACCCGGGCCAGCCCCCGGCAGTTCTCAACTCCCATCCTTCCCCCTGCCAACTTACCAGGAGGGCATCACCATCTTCATGTTGAGAGTCACAGGGATCCGGGGTCTGGGGGAGGGCAGCGAGAAGAGCCATCAGGCACAGAAGGGATGAGGAAGCCACAGCGGCGGAGAGCAGGAGGGGGCAGGGTAGCCCCTGGGGGCCCCTCCCAGCAGGCAAGGCCTGTGTTTAAGGTGTTGCCAGGCAACCTGCCACGTGGGGCTGGAGGCTGTGGTTGGGGCACCAGCAGAGAAGCAGAGCCGGGTACTCGGGTGTGACGGGGTTCCCGCTCAGTCGGTGAGTACTTGGGGAAGGGGCACAGGATCTCCTGGCTCTAGGAGATCCCTGGCCGAGGAGGGCCTCGGGCTGGGGGCTGGGGGCGCGAGCTCCTGGGAGGGAAGGCTGAAAACGGTGCCTCCAACTGCCCTGGGCCCAACCGCAGGCTGTAGCTGGCAGGAGACGACAGGCCTGAGACCACAAGACCACCCTGTAGCTGATCCCCATCCTCAGCCCCTCCCTTGCCGGGGTGACACTCACGCATGGGGACAGATGTACTTGACGTGAGGGAGCCGGATGGTGGAGAGGGCGTCAGCCCAGCTGTGCCTGTAGGAAGGGAAAAAAGGCACCGGTGTATGAAGGGAGAGATGGAGGGTGCAGGTCCCTCCAATCCTACCCTCTGGGCCCTCCCCCACCTCCCCCAGGAACACCCCTCCCTCCCCAGCTCACTCACCCTGTGTCTCCAAGTCCATGTAAAAAAATAACCTGAAAAAGGGTCAGACATGGGGTGGTGGGAAGAGGACAGTCATCACGCTGCTCTCATTCCCCCCCAGTCCTCCTCCTCCAACTTTGGGCCACCCCTCAGTGCCGCCAAGGACCTGAGGCTGGGGGGGGTGGAGGGGAAGGACCGTGGGAGCAGCCAAACCGGCTATTAACCCGTTGCCGCCTGGCTTCAGATTGCTCCCTTGTCAACGGTACCACCTCCATTTTTCCCCACACCCCTTCCAGCCAGTCTCCCTGGCTGGCCTGGGGGCTGGCCTGGGGGCTGCCTGGGGAGGAGAGGACCCTTACCGCGGCCGTTTCCCGCTCAGCTCCAGACACGGTGGCAGCATCGGTGAGCAGGGGCACAGACATGGTGTTACCACACATACACTGCAGGCTCCACGGCTGGGGCCTGTGCAAATTTAGGGGAGTGGTCAAGAGCAAGAGCAGCCAGGAAGAGCCTCAAAGCCAGGGCCCACTCAGACTGTCAGCGCCCCCCTGCTCCCTGGACTCTGTCCTGGGCACAAAGGAAAGGCAGGCAGGAAGTCTCAGGCCAGAGCAGGTAGGAAGTTTGCCTCCATTCCTGGGCTGAGAAGCAGAGGAAGCACCCTAGTGTCCCTGGTTCTGGCCCCGCACAAGGCCGGCGCTCGCTGGAGACCAGGGGGGCAGAGGGAGGGCTTGGCCGTGGGGGAGGGGAGCCAGGGCACCCGGCGGTCATCCCCCCCCAACTGCCTCCTCCCTGCTTTCCAGGCATCACGTCTGTAAGAGAGCCCCGGGTTGCCTCCCGCCCAGCTCCCAGCGCTGCTGGGGAAAGAAGGGGAGAAAGGTTTGCTTTCAGCCCCTGCCCCCCACCCCACCCCACCCCACCCCATTTTCTCCGCTCCGCAGGCTCCCCAGCCCCCCCAGCCTTCACAAGCAGTTTCTGGCTCGGCCATTCCCAGGGCCCCCGGGGGCGCCCATGTCCCCAGGAGGCGCGGACTCCGGCCCACCGCGCACCCCCTAACTGGCGGCCCACGCCCCACTGAGCGGTGCTACCTGCTGCTGCTCGAGCCCGCGGAGTCCGGCCCGGCCCCCCAGTCTGACCACGCTCCGGGACTCCCAAACACACAAAAGAATGTGCGGCTGGCTGGCTCCTCCCCATCCTCAGCATCCTCCCGAGTCCCCCGGGGCTCGCGCCCCCGGCCCCGAGGCGCCCCCGCCCCTCCCGGACCCCGAGCGCACCTCTGCACGTGGATCCCTCACCTCTGACCCCGGCGCCCTCTCCCTACACGGGGATTCCCCTCCCGCCTCCCCGGGAGACTTCCACCTCTCGCCGCGGGGTCCCCGCTCTCAAAGTGATGCCTTCCGCGCTGCCCGGGGAGGGGAGCTCCTCACAGTCACGCACTCGCACCCGGAGCCCGAGTCCCCCTCTCTCCACGCGAGAAACGTCCGCTCCGGCCAAAGGTCGCCCCCTCCCGACCCCGGGCCGGGCCCCCCCTCCTGCCCACGCGGGGGCGTCTGCGTCGGACCCCGGGAGCCCCAGCCCCGCCGCGGGCCCTTCCACTCGCGCCCCCCAGCGCCCCCCGTCACGGCCGGACCCTCCTCGCCCCTCTCCCCGCGAGTCCCCGAGCCGGGCCGGCGCCTCCTCGCACCGCGCTCCCCACCCCCACCCCCGCCGCCGCGCTCCCCTCCCCGCCCGCCGGCCCCCGCCGAGCGCCCGCCCGCCCCCGGCAGCCCCCTCCGCCGGCGGGCCCCGGACCGGGTACCTCCACTCCCTGGGGCTTCCGAGACCTCTCGGGCGAGCCTCCTCTTTCTCCCGCACAGGCACACACTCTTCCCCCTCGGCCGCCCCCGCCGGAACTTCCGCTCGAGTCCCGGGAACCCAGCCATCGCGCTGCCGGAAGTGGCCTGGCCAGCGGTACGGAACCCGGAAGTGGGCGTCGGCGATCCGCCAGACGCGAGCTGCCATGTTGGGAGCGGCGGAAGCCCCCGGGTCGCCTGCGGGAGCCGCGCCGCGCGCCGGTGGCTGCCGCGTGCCGCCACCAGCCGTGCGCCGCCGGGGGGACGCCCCCTCACACTGGCCTAGCTTCGCAGGGACCCCGCGCGGGACGGACGGCCGCCCGCGTGAAGACGTCGGCTCGGGCCGCCCAGTCCTGGTCCTGCTCTGAGGAGGAGGAAACTGGCGCTCGGGGCGGGGAAGGAAACAGCAATCTCGGGATGACTCTAACGTGTCTCCGCACCTGCTTCCTGAGTTACAACACGCTGATAAACCCCACCCCGCCTACTTCACAGCTCTGCTGCGAGGCTCACATGAGGCCGCCTGGAAATTACAGTGTGAGGACCGGAGACCTAAAAAGGACCCCGGGAAAACAACGCAGGTCACATCAGGGCAGCTGGACAGGCAGGGTTGTCTCTGCCCTCAAGCAAGACCATGTGGACGGTGCACCACTATCAATGG